AACTAGGTCAAATTTTTCATAATAAAAAAAAAATTAAACAGCCATTCGTCAGATGAGTATCTGGAGACTGTTAGTAGTCAATAGAACGAATAAAAAATGGGGGGGGAGGGAATATCATCAGAGGGAAATATTTTTTATGGCATTCTGTGTAACCACACACACAGACATTCACATTAAAAAGACACTAGACCTGTTTTTCACACTGTACTCTTTCTCTGAAATGAGTCACTCGAAGCTTTATATTAGTTAGGCTGAGCAAGACAAGTAGTCTAGGAGATTGGTTCAACAGAGATGAACTCATTTATTGATTAGGTGTACAAAAATATTTCCACTCAATAATAGAAGTATATGAGTGAATTTCTTTGCTTGTAGCAGATCACATAGAAAAGCTGAGAATATCATTTTTGAAATTGATATTTATACATTAATTAAACTTGTTTTGAGAGATAGCCATGCAGAATTACCTAATCTCCATCTGCTTAATTCAAGTGCAGCAGTATAAAAATATTAGCATACCAGACATGCAACTATCCTTTGTTTTGTTTCCACCTGGCATTCCTGAAACAAGAAAAATTAGAAGTGCAGTATACACAGAAACTATAGGTCTCATGCAGGAGAATAATCCTTATGCAGGATTTTACTTCCAGGAAAAGGTGTAGTTATGACTTGCAATAAATAATCGAGGTTTATAGAGGTTCGTCCAATTCCTTAGTGTAAAAAAGTTCTATTCTAATGAGCATATAAAATAAAACAGATCTCTGAGACAACAGAATATGTTAGCAACTGAAGTGAATAAAAACTGGCAAGAATGCCAATGACCAAGAAAACACGGGTAGCTAGTTTTACTGCACAGTGAGTCAGCAGTTACTCAGCGAGGAAATTTAACTTAACTTCATCATATTTACTGCATAAAGATGTCTTTGTTTAAGAAACTATCTGAAGTAACATTTTCTCTGTATACCCTCTGGAGCTGTTGAAAGTCTTATATGGGCATCATAGCACACTGTGGTTTCCCTGATTTATTAACTTTACCCTTACTTTTTACCTAACATGCAAATACCCAGAGCTCACACACATTTTTACTAACAGCCTGCAAGTGGTTTAGATTCATAAATAAAAGCATCTAATTCTCTTTCACATGTCCCAAAGCATCCAAGATTTCCACAGGAACAGGCAGATAAGACAAAGGACTTACAAGAAACCTAGAATGGAAACTTGGGGCCAAGCATAGTAACAGAGGGTATCTAAAATAACCTCCTTTCTTTTGGTGGTTGAATACTACCCTGCTAGTAATATTTATTAAAAACAGCAGGAACTGTTTAGTTGCTTGTTCTCTTCTACTTATCTATTTTATTTATGATGTCGTCATTGTAGTGCATGATACTGTGTTTTTCTTTTACTAAGTCTTCCTTTTACTCAGCTTTTTTCATCCTTTTGCAGTTTATAAAAAATAACTGCTTTGAGAACAATTACTAAAGCCTGATTATAACTTCAATGAGTTTGTGTTACTTATTGCCATAACATATTTTTAGAAAATACTTAAGGATTTTAGACCAAGTTTTGATCAGTTACTGGGATAACTCTAAAGTCAAATGACTGTACTTGAAATGAGGAGCTGAGCATTGGATTAATACTATTGATTGTTTTCTAAATATTCCTTGTAATTTTCCTTGGTGAGTTATTCAAGCAAAGATTATACTTTTATGTTAACAGTAATGTTCCTTTCATCTTTTTTCCTACTAAAAACTTCATTTTCCTCATAATGTACTGTCTCCAAGCCTTCTTTAATATTTCATTTTGTTGGCATCCAGAAAACTACGCCACTTTGCATCTCTTTTGAGGAACAGAGAAAGGGAGGAAGATGAACAAAACTAGCCTTTTTGCTATTCCTCTTCTTTTGTTACCATAAGTGCATGGCAGGTGAGATTTTTCCACTGTAGATGTAGTAGATCTAGTGCCTAAATATAGTCTTTCAAATTTAGGATGAGACTGCTTGCAATTATTTTTTCATATATCTTGAGATACTTAATTTTCTCTAGGTTTTGCTAATTTCCAAAGGATTTCCTTTGGTAGCTGCTTTGGCACAATTCCCATTTTATTCATTCTGTAGAAAAGCCTATTATAAACAATTTTTTATAAATACACATGAAAAGAAAATTTTTCACTTCCGTTGTCTATTTGCACATTCTTGAACTCATTAAAAATAGACCTTACAAAAGTAGGGAAGATAACAGACATGTAAGTCTATGCTTCTGGTATTCTGCATTAGGTTGATTTTTACAAGTTTGGTTTAACATTGAAGAGCATATGAAATAATAGAATATACTTAGCAAGGAAGGGAAACACCACATATTCCGTTTTCCTTTAATAAGATACTCTGTGGATAAATGAACATATGCTTGGGGAAACTGCTTCTCAAATAAGCAACTAATTAATTTTGCATTATACTTGGAATTTATTTGTATTACAATAACTCGGAAGAGTGCAAATCAAGAGATTTTATGGGAACTACAAACTTAAGTCATTGTGCAGGATAACAGAGGTAAAGCAACTTAAAAAATTGTTTATGGTTATTCCCAGTAACTTTCTTCCTTCAGTTTGCTGAATCATTTTGCATATTTCAGTTCCATGGATGTTTTCATGTTCATAAGTACCTCTGAAAAATGAAGCTTTTTTTTAATAATATTCTACCATTTATGTCATTGCTTGTGTTTTATTTCACTGAACACTGCTATACCATCCAATATATGGATGCCATAGAGGAACTTTTCATCAGGGACTCTAGCAATAGGATAAGGGGCAATAGGTTCAAACTTAAATAGGAAGGATTCGGATGCTATATAAGGAAGAGGTTCTTTACTGTGAGGGTGGTGAGGCACTGGCACAGGTTGCCCAAAGAAGTGATAAATGATCCATCCCTGACAGTGTTCAATGTCAGATTGGACAGAATGTTGGGAGACATGGCCTAGTGTGAGGCACCCCTGCCCATGGCAAGGGGGGTTGGAACTTGATGATATTAAGGTCCTTTCTAACCATAATTATTCTATAATTCTATGATTCTAAGATTCCCTGTATGATACTTAATGACAAAACACAGCTACAGATCTACTTAGTCAGAAAGAAATGTAATGGAGTGATCAAGGCATATTGCTATGTCCCAGGATGTATTGGATTTGTTATGTTTCAGGTATCAGTTTGATCCAGAAGTAAATGGAAAATTTTCCATATGAATTCAGGAGTCAGAAGTGTCCAGACACAAAAACCATATCACCACCATGTGACTGCAAGCCAGGCATGCCTTTCCCACATCATTTAGAAGAGCCTAATAGGTGCTTCAGGACACATCTTTGACCATCTCTGTGTTATCAGAGCATAAAGTATTAGCAAAGTGCTGTTTGAATAGAATTGGCAAGAAAATAAGGATATATTTTTTTTTTAAATATATTGTAGGGATCTTTTCTATAGCATCCTCAATTTTTCACAAATAATAAAGGAAAAAAAAGATCCTTAAGGAAATAAGCCCTTCCATGGAAAGCTGATGACTTGTTTAGGGAGGGATAGTCTGCATTCAGTTTCAAACTACTTATGGTAATAAGTATTCCTATCCATAACTTCCAGACTGTCCCAGTCTGAGTCACAGACACAGCAGGAGATCAGTTTTAATCTCCATTCTCCCCCAGTGCTTGGATAGTGCAAAAACTGCTGGTGACCCAGTAGAGCAGCACAAACTCTCTCTTCATGTTAAGTAGAAGCTCCAGCCTCCCTGAAATCAGGAGCCTTACATACTCATCTCATATTTCAGGGTGAAAAGCTTATAAATGAATCAAATCCATGGGGAGAGCAAGAAATCAGTGCCTATTACATCAGGAGCTTCCTACAGGGACATCTTTTGTCTCATGAAAATAGGATTTACTTAGTTCCCAAGCAATTTCAAAGAGGTAGGTATCTCTCTTTGAAAAGCAAAGGTTGTGTTTTTCACTGAGATACTGAAGTGATATGTTTTGAGTGTAGTGCTAGAAGGAAGAAAGGAGAAAACAGCTTTTTGCTTCTGTAGACTCCTCATAAACATTCTCATAAATAAGTATACAAATGAAAATTCTCCAGAGTTAGTATAGACAGAAAGCTCTGTGAAGGTTGCTAGGCAGCTGAGGCCAAAGGAAGAGAAAGGAGGCAGGGCTTTGAGAAAGAGAATCAGTGACTTGTGGGTTATCTGGAGTCTCCATTTACTTTTTTCATAACCAAGCAACAGTAGAATTTATTTTTCTTTAGTAAATGAGCAATGTTTTTAAAAGATTTGAAATGAAAGGCCTGTTTTATATCTTTTTCCTACCCATTTTAAAGCTATGGAATTATATGTATGGTTATTATTTCTAATTTATTTTTATTCATTGTCTGCAACAGGAGTTTGGTGCTGTATATCCAGGCTATAACTTGAAAATTATTTAGCAAGGTAGTTAATTTCTAAATATTTGTCCAGTTTTAATTTTTACCAATGTGCATGTAAGACTCTAAATGATAGAAGTTTCCAGGGCTGGAAGGTGTACCTTGCCCTCAAAAGGTGTTTGTGTTTCACTGTCACAAGGAAAGACTTAATTTCTACTGCTATAATCTGTATGATATATGATGAAGTTACTCATTACAGAAATATAGCAGTAACACACACTCCCTTCCTTTTACTGCTAAGCATACGAAAATGCAGGAATTTCCAATAAACAAGGTTTTTGTATGCAAGATTAGGTGATCACATTATTGACTAAGTACTGAGATTTGAAATCTCTGCTTATATTTGTGTCTTAGCCTAACTGAAATTAGCTGTGCCTTCAGCAGCTGTATTATACATACAAGTACATTGAGGGGGGCACTATAATCCTCCAATTTCCCTCCCTTCTCACAGTGTACCATGTTTTAGTCTACTTCAGCTATTTTCAATTCCTTCAGATTATGTCTCTAGAAGATTTAATCACTGCATCACAGTTTTTCATTATTTGTTTCTTTCACAGGGTGGATGCTGTGGGGGCATCCAGGCAACTGAATGGAATAGCTTCTAGTGGGCTAGTAGGATGAGAAGGTCCAGGGGTAGTTTGGGAAATGAGGAGAAACATCACCTCCCAAGATGGTAAACCTACTGCAAAGGTAATACGTGTAAGGATCTTGTTATGCAGTCAGACTTTAGACTCTAGGGGTGTCATGGCTGGAATGCATGGCAGAAAACTGCTAGGGAATGGGAGCACATATCTTTGATGCTGTCTGAGTGTTCATACAGAGTCACCTGAAAATATTTCAAGAGCTTCTTAAACTGCATTGAGTTACAGCACCCTTCCCTGTGCAAGGGAGATTTTGAATGCTGTATCTTAAAGGGGTTTTCTTGTCTTCCTGTGGACCTGTTCGAGACTACATATTGAAAGTATACAGTAATTTTTGAAGAAATCCCTTATAGGGCTTGAAACACATGAAAATGCCAGCTTATCAGCCATGTAACAATTGAGCAGAATAAAATGTTATTTCAAACGGAGACTTAATGGCTTTATTTTTAACCATACATAATCTTGTTTGGTTGGTTTATTTCAATCTCACCTTCCAGGCTTGACTGTTGTGTTTGTGGAAACTTTCCACCCGGAAGCCTTAACTATGGATGTTTTTGTTACTAGCATTTCAGAAGTCCAAGAGAATGTGCATATTAACAAAAGGCCAGGTTGGACAGGGCTTGGAGCAACCTGTCTAGTGGAAGATGTCCCTGTCCATGGCAGGGTGTTGGAACTAGGTGAGCTTTAAGGTCCCTTCCAACCCAAACCAGTCTGTGTTTCTATGATTTTATGACCTGTCATGCCTCAGCATAACAGCTTCTTCCTTCCCGTTAAGAAGTAGAGTTGAGCCATGAAGTACCAGGACATTAAGTTTCTCTGCTGTCCCAAAAGCTCATCTATATGGTCTATTTCTGAGCCCAGTTTGTTAGTTTTTTAAACTAAAATTAAGTTTGCTGAAATGATTTTGTTCACTCCTCAGAAACCAGTCATTTCCCATGGTACTTTCTGAAATACTTGACAGGCTGAGTTGCTGCTTTCATTTATTAAAGTGTCTTAATTTTGCAGCATGTAAGAATATTAACAATAGAAAATCACACTGGTGGAAAATAAAATGGGATTTCTGATGCAAAAGCTTTTATAAGGATCTATTCCCATATTTCATAAGATGCCAAAAAAACACAAAACATCATTTAATTAGGAAATCTTTTTTTCTTTGTTCAAGAGTATAGACGTTTTGTCTAGTTGAGTACTAGGTTAAGCTTTCAAATGTCTCGGAGAAATGCCTTCCTTATTCTTGCTGATGATCTTTCTCCAATTCTCTGGTATTCATTAATTAAAGTAATTCATATATTCCACTACTGCAATTCACAAATTGTTTCTGTGCTTCACCAGGCTTCGCAGTTGCCAGAAACCAAACCAGTCTGTGCTCGTATAATATTAGTGAGAGTTGTGTCTTTGTGTTACCTTTAGCTGTGATAGAGAGTCTGAAGCCTTCTCCTCTGGAAAGAACAGAAACTACTTTATTACCTGGGAGAAGTTCTAAATGCATTTGTGACAGAGGAAAGGTTTGATGTAGGAAAGTGAGAGTAAGCACAGATCTTGCTTCCTGGATTTATAAAAATAGTGACAGTTTTCAGTTCATAATCTGCTTTTCAAGACTCTGCTACTCAAAGTTCTTGTTAATCAATTCAACCTAGATTCTCCAGACATAATTTGTTTTTTTTTTATTGTGTAGAAGAAATGAGTTATCATGTTTTTGGCTTTTTTTTTTTGTTTGTTTGTTTGTTTGTTTTAGTGAGGGTCCAGTAGTTTCTACCAAAAGATTGAAGCAATTTACTACAAAGACAAGAATAGTTTCAAATAGGTTCAGTCCCTAGCTATCTTTCAGGTGCCTTCTTTCTACCCATAAAAGGGGTAGACTTATATGAAAATTCTCATGGAACATGTAATGTTCCTCTGTTGATGCTTTTGTGATAATCCTTTCTCAAAAAGGAGAAAAAGATCTTTGCACAAGAATTAGCAGGGCTCACTGAAACAGCTTTCAGCTAGCTTTGAAGGGGGAAGAGTATAAAATCAGGTGTGCTAGAAATAAGCCTGAAGACAGCATGTCAATGTTTAAGGGACAGTGGGCTAGTGAGGTCCTTCAGTCTGCTTCAAGATCTGCTGAATATGCTGGAGCACATTTGGAATGTCTTTATAGTAATGCACACAGCATTAGGAGGTAGAAGCTTTGGCCCAGTTCCAGAGCTGTAGTGTCATTGGCATTAGTGAAACCTGGTGGCATGAGTCCTGTGATTGTTGTGCCATGATGGGCGGTTATAGGCTCTTCAGGAGGGATAGGCAGGGTAAGCAAGGTGGACTATATGTAAGGGAGGGATTGGATTCCGTGGTAATGACGGGTGACATGGTTGGAAGCCTCAGGGTAGAGGATGAATGGGAAAGCAAATACAGCAGATGTTGCTGTGGGACTCTACTATTGACCACCCTGGTGGAGGATGACACCAATGGATTGTGGAAGGAATTGATCTCTACTGCCCATGTCCTTACAGGTGATTTTAAATTCCCAGACATCAACTAGGAATATCCTACAATGGACACAAACAGATCCAGGAAATTTCTGAAGCACGTTGAAGAGAACTTCTTGGTACTAAAAGAACCAGCTAGGAAAGATGCCCTTCTGGATCTGTCGTTTGTAAACAGAGAAGTGGTGATTGCTGGCTGTCTTGGTCACGGTGACTATGAAGCAGTTGAGTTTCAAATCACTGGTGAAAGCAGGAAAACTGCCAGCAAAACTTCAACCCTGGACATGGGGATAGCAGACTTTACGCTGCTGAATGAACTAGTTAGTAAGGTATCCTGGGAATCTGCTTTTAAAGGTATTGGGGTCCATGAATGCCTGTCATTTTTGAAGATCCATCTCTTAAGAACACAGGAGCAGACAATTCAAAAGTATTGGAAGTAAAGGAAGAGGGGCAAAAGACTGGCTTAGCTAAGCAGGAATCTTCTAGAATTTAGGCAGAAATGAAAAATGTATGGACACTGGAAGCAAGGGCAAGACTTATGGGAAGCATCTCAGGTCAGTTGATTTGTTGAGTTTGGAGAAGAGAAGGCGGAGGGGTGACCTTATTACATTGTACAACTTCCTCAAGGGGAGCAGTGGAGGGGAGAGTGCTGATCTCCTTCTGATGACCAGCAATAAGACACAAGGAAATGAAATGAACCTGCATCATTAGGAAAAAGTTCTTCACTGAGAGGGTGATGGTCACTGGAACAGGCTCCCCAGGGTCATGACACTAAGACCGTCAGAGTTCAAGCAGTGTTTGGATGATGAACTTTGTCATATGATTCAGTTTTATATAGTCCTGTGAGAAGTGGGGAGTTGGACTCAATAATCCTTATGAGTTCCTTCTAACTTGAGATATTTTATGATTCTATGAATCTAATCTCAATGACACAGAGAACAGTTTGGATTCCAGGCTTTACACTGGGAAAAGAAGTTACAACCTTCAGGGCAAATATGGAAGGAAACTCAAATTAGATGAGATGACATTGTGATATCTTCATCTGCAACATACTAAATGAAGTTTGAACTTCTCCACCTCTACACTTAATGAGAAACAGGAAGTTTAAAGGATTGATGTTTCAGTCTCTGATTCACTGCTTAAATTGTGTTTCATGTGAACTATTGTTGGAAATGCCATTTTGACTGAAGGAAGGGGAAGATAAGGGTGCTGTTTTAATATAACTTGAAATCTTGATGGGAAAAAGTAGTTTATATTTTCAGTAAGAGGCTTTCATCTTCATTGGAGTCTAATGATATTGATCTGATATCAGTACTAAGTATATGCTCTTGAATTCTGACCAGAACCAGATTCTGCTTCTGGTGGAAATTATAAATGTTTCACATTATTCCAAAAAACAGAGCTCTTTCTGTGCATTTCTTTAACTGATCAGTTTACAAGTGACTGCATTTTGCTCTTCTGTATGATAAAATATTTGTTTCAGGTGTTTTTCTATTCTAAAATGAATGGTTCTACATTTTATATTTTGGGTGATCTCTGTGCCCTTCAAGGCTACTTATAATAAAGTCATGGTAGCTAATGCTGTGTTTGGTTTTGGTTTTCCTCTTCTAACAGCCAGGAAAACAGTCATGTTCCATGATTTATGGAAGAGTCAAAAGCTTTTAAGTTAAATAATAAAACCTGGGAAGCTTCTGTTCATTTTTTTGTTGTTTGTTTTTTGTTAGTGGTGGTTTGTTTTTTTTTTTTTTTACCAAGAGACCTCTAGGGCTTTATCTTAGAAGAAAGAACCCTTAGACATAACCAAAGTCAATAACCCTCAAGAGACAAATGGAGACAGGGAATATTAGCAGCAATTCCTTCAATATTTCACCAAAGATAAAAGACTGTGATATGACAAGAATAGACTGTTGGATCTCTGAAATGATCTGAGAAGTCAAATATGAAAGAGATGAGTTACCAGGTAGCCTTCACCTGCATTACTCAGTGCTATATCCATTGCTCTCTCCACAGCTGATAATGCTGTATATAACAAATTTGGTATGTTCTGTGGGGGAAAGTGCTGTATTCTTTTTGTTTAAACTTACTGTGTGAAATCCCTCCTTAATTAAAAACTGGTAGGAAAGCTCATCCTTTATTGACATCCCAAGATGCCAATGATTCAGTGTCTCAATTTACTTCTTTTCTAGGGTTGTTTCTCATTCATCTGCCACTTTTGTTTTATATCTTTATTTCATAGAATGGTTTGGGTTGGAAGGGACCTTAAAGCTCATCTAGTTCCAACCCTTTGCCATGGATAGAGACACCTTCCACTAGACCAGGTTGCTCAAAGCCCCATCCAGATAATAATTTATCCATTATTATTTAATTTCTTAAATGTTCTGCTCCTCTTCCTGAGTTCTGTTATGATAGGTGGTAGAAAACTGGTCCTATAATACTGAAGAACAGTTTTGGGTATTTATTGTTTGTAAGACAGAATGTTCGGGTACCATCCTCTGAAAAGTTCTCATTCCTGTAATGTGCCAGGATCTTGTCTTGAAATTTTTAACACTTACTTTACTGTAATTTTTGCTTTTACTACAGTAGAATA